GCTGTGTCGTCTTCGATAATATTTGTATTATTGATCGTGGCCTCGAAGACTTCCGACGCGAGGCGCCTCCATCTTGAATCCGCGTGGAAATCGCTTTCCGTCGGAGTTTTGCTGTCGAAACGTCAATTAATCGCAGAATCGCGTCTCCTGCACTCGCGTTATTAGTTCCCGTGTCTGTTTCGACGGGAAAATCCGAGGAAAGTTGCCCCCGTTGTCCCGAGTCGTTCGCGAGGTCTATTTTCCGCTTCCATCTTTTCCCTTTCGCTTCATCCACTTCCGTTCTTTTAACATGATCATTCTATTAGCGCGGAACTGCCCGAACAACTGCAACGAAACAAGAGCGGCAGTGGACTTAATGCACTTATTTAAATTTTTCAGCAGCCACTTATGAGAGACTGAAATCCTTGGAGAAGTTTCCCCGAGGGCATCGAGGAGGGAGAGCCTGGTCTTCTCACTTCCGTCGAGGTGAAGTCGATCGACGTGTCCGTTTCCAAAGTCCTTGCCCGAGGTACTCTGTGGACTTGGAAAGAAGCAGCCTGTAAGGAATGCGGGTCTGATCGTAAGGGGTATGTGCACAGATCTGTTCTTTTCTTTGGTAATTACAGTAAAATACTTTTCAGGATTTTCGTCGTCGATAGAAATTCTCGCGTTTACAATGCAAGGCTCTACGAAATAATAACGTAGACGCAGAATCGATGTTTTAATCGAATTTTAGTTCCCGTCAGGTACCCGGAACCCTAACGGTTTGGGGTGTGTCGAAGATGGAATCAACCCTAAATTCACAAACAATTTAGCTCCATTTTCTCCATGTGTGAGATCAGACTTAACCCTTATCGGACGTAAGTCACCTCTCACGTGACAGTAGTACTTTGTCATTAAGGTTGTGCGTCACGTGGGAGGTGACAAGACGGAAATCTTTCGCATATTTACTAAAATCAGCTACAACCTAGTGAAAATCACGTGTAAAAAGCTAGCGTCCGATAGGGGTTAAATAATCTGAAGAAAACTCGAGCAATACGACAGCTCTGAAAATTTTCACGTACCACCCGTTATACTACATGCGCTACCGTTCAATGGCTCCTTCTGTTCTCTCATTTAGTATCACTATCCGCGATTAAACACGCGATATCACGTTCCCGCGAGCGTGAACCAGACGAGGCAGTTATTCGATTTCGCGTCTCGTCGTCGTAAATCCTCGTGAGCTGGTTCCAAGCCGAACGACCGTGTGCCACGTTTTCCACTTCGATTTCGTGTTATTTCAGGATATTCGGGCCCGGTCGACGTAATCGTGCACGCGACAGGGTAAACCGGCGAGCGCGAGTTCCGTTGCGACTGAACGGGAATTATTATCGTTGGAGTTTCAATTAATCCGCGCGGGAATCCGCGCCGCGCCCACGCGGGTCGTCGAGCTCTTGTCGGTTCGACGATACGCGGAGTCCTGCGGACTTAGTCGCTGGAATACGGGTCAGGCAATTCGGGTCAACGGGAAACGTCCTTCGTCCCACGATACCTTTATGCACTTCCATGGTGTCTATGATTATTTCCGTACGCGAGGCTGCCACTGCAGCGTGCCGTGGCACACGCCCAGCTCTCTCCGCGACTCGCTGCCAGCCATTTCGCCGACGATCCTCTATCCAGCCTGTTCCGCTGTTATTTTTAAAGCCGTCCACGGACGTCACGCGGGGATGTCTTGATTCCGTCGTAATCAAAAGCACCGTCCCAAAGACCTGTCTTCCCTTTAGTCTGCGCGATCGTCGCGTCGTTCAGAGAGCCACCCTACGCGCGCGGAATCTTGTCCTTTTGGGTCGATCGTGTCTCGTGTCTCGCGGATATTTCGCTTCTAATAAAACATTGATAAATAGTCTCTCCCTGCATATGAGACTTATTCTTTCACCCAACTTTCAACTTTCTCGGATTGTTGAATTACTTTTATGGGAAGCTTACGTTATCGAAATCGTTTTATCCTCTTCGCGTGCAACCTGATCCTCTTCGAATTGCCTGGAATATCGAAGTATTCGTGTTCCTATCGTTCCTCTCGGTTATATCTACATCGAGGTGCTCGAAATTTTACGGAAGCTTGTAAACAATTCGACGCGAATAAAGTTGTAGCGGCGCCACCGTTGCTCGAAGATCGAACGCGTTTGTTTCATGGATCGCGCGTGCGGAACCGCGGGATAGGGTTTCGGTATCGCGTCATCCCCATTTTTACGCAATTCTCGGCTCGCGGCGGGCAATTTACGGTTTGTTTAAGATCAACGGGGCGAAAGATGAAGGCATAAGCGGCTGTTGAGGCCAACGATGAAATGACACATGAACTCGTGCAGTCCTGAAATTTACCGTCGTAACGCCGGGACACGAGCTGAACGGATGCCAAGTGCTACACCGAGTCGAAATAACGACGCTGGTAGGAATATTCTTGTTAATAAGGGGGCGAGTTACGCGTGGCGGAAACGCTGGTCGACGATACTCGAACGAGAGGTAAGAGCTCGTCGAGACGCTGCTGCGCGATCGTTCTCGGCTCGTTCGCGTCTAATTACGTTCGTTCTTGTCTCACCTACACCGGTGTAATTCGAATATCGTCTGCCGTGGAATTCTGCGTACTTTTCTTCCTCCTACGTTACGCAAGTTACGTGGCTTTGTTCTCTTAATTAATCTTTCAGCTGCCTCGAAGCGATCACGGGTTCAGCCTTCGGCAGATTCGTTGCGTTACGGATTACCGAGGCTGTATTAAAATAAATCGATTACGCACGGTTTGTACATCTTATTTCCATGGGGGATTAAATTAGCAGAAAATTCGTGCTCGTTAAAGATGCTGGAATATCGGGTTTTAGGAGGGAAGGTCGTATGCCAGTCGCAATTATGCAGATGTCCACGGAATAGCGATAAAATTGTTTCCACGCTTTTCAGGTGTTAAATTTCAAAGTTAACCCCTTGCATTGTAATATATAATGAGTTTTTCCTATCAAATCTCGCGATTATCACGCGACAATAATATAAAACATTTAACGTGTTTCAATGTGTGGAAAATTTAAAGAATTTCGAAAATTATTACCTACCCCTGTCACGTATGAAATGAACGTATAAAATTAAATACCTCTCTAATGTATAATTTTTCATAATTAAATCGCATTGCGAGGGGTTAAGTAAGATTCTTTTCAGTTGCGCACAGGGAAATTTTGATTAAATAACGCATATTAGCCGCGGAAGGGCCACAATCATCTCATGAGGCTCGAGGCAACCGCCTCCACGATTTATACACAAACCCACGACAGTTGCAAATATCGTATATCTCGCTTTGATTCGTTCCTTTGTACTTACACACGGTATATCTCCATTATAAAAATTAACGAAGTGGTTAAAAGTGGTTAAAAATTACAAGCAGTCAGAAGTTCCTAATGGATAAATGGATAAATAATCGTCTCGAATTTCGATTCCCCACAGTACACATGTACGTATATGCACACGTGGAGTGTGTAAACTCGTTACAAATGACAGAACGTAGATGCCAAACATTGTGCTTTCCCTTTTCCCTCGAGCCAGCTGCATTAAATCGCGACGTTCGGAGATAATTCATCCCGCCTTCCTTCGCCCCTTTTTACCCCTTTTTCCAAAATGTTACACACGCGCGACGAGTTCCACCCGCGTTACCGTCGCGTCGAAGTTAATTAACGAGAAATTGTCAACAGGGAAAAATCGAACGACGCGATTACCCGACAAGGAAGACGCGTTGTCGAATATCCGCGCGAAATGTCACGATAAAGCGAAATGCCACGGTTTGTCGGTGAATTTCGCGCAGCAAACCGTGAATATTTTCACCGAGTGTCTCGAGAGTTGTCCCCTGATTTATTCAAAAGTTGTAATGGACGTCAACGCGCGCTTCCACGAAGTTGAGGGTGTCGACTGCCGTTCCGATTCGCGACGTTGAAAAGGGGTTGACGCGTGATTTTTGCATATTTTTCCGTTTCCGCGAGATTCCCTCACCCTGACGAATATTCATTTTGCAATCAACGTCCAATTATGTCATATTCAGCGTCGCGCAAACGCTCGCGACGAAACTGCTTTTAAAAATCGTCCCATCATCGTTGGGATTTTAAAAATCGCCAACTGAACCGCGATTTTTCGGCCCAAACAGTATTTCGAGATAATTCTAAATGGCGTCGCATAGCTTATCGATGGGAAGTCGTATCGAATTATGGATTAATGGAAAATCGTCGTGCATTATGTACCTGACAAAGTATTTTCGCCAATTTCCGACAAGGTTCGTATCGGTTCGTGTAAACTCGCACCTCTGTCCATTTATTCCTTCAATCTCTAACAAAAACATCCATTAGCAACGGAGTATCGATGAAAATATACAATCCTTGATAATTGCGATATAAAATCACGGCAACGATTTCTCTTTTCTCTCTCTTTTTCTAAATTCATTCAGCGGGTTCCTTTACGAAAATAGGAATCGATAAAATCACTTTTATGCTCGATTTATTCCTCTGCTCTCTAACGAAAATATCCGTTAGCAACGAGTGTTAATAACAATCCACGAATCTTTACGATCTCGACAGAAATCGGGTTAACAGTTATTTTTCTCCAGATACACTTCTCGCGATCTTTTTGCGAAGCTTAGCATCGATAAAGATCACGTTTATGTTCAAGTATATTCGAACTACTATGCTCACTTAAAAAAGTAATTAGTTACTTAATAAACAAAGTAACCCCTTGAAAATTTTTGTATATTCTTTATCTTTAGATATACGTGTATTAAAATTAAAAAGTAAGTTGTCAAATAAAATTAAATAAAATTTGAACGACAATTAATTTTTAATTTTAATCTACGTATCTCTATTACGTATCTGAAGACAAAGAATATACCAAAATTTTTTAATGGAATCGTAAATATAATATTGCAAAATATGCTTTATAAAATCTCGACTTCTGATTTCTCTTTCTTTCCAAATTTGAGACTCGGACCAAACTTGAAAATGTCGGTGTAAATTCACCCATGGGAGTCTGAACGACACCGTTTGCTTCGTCACCGATTATTCGAAAATTTCGATTTAAACGAAATTTCCGTTTCACCAGTGACACGATAATTCTGCCGGAAGTGAGAGTATCCTCCGAAGAAATTCGAAGGAACTTGGTTGCCACGTTATACGCGCTCGGGGTAACAAGCTGCGACCTAATGCCACGGTTGGAGGGCTCGGTAATTACATGGTTAACTGGAAGACGTAGCTTATCTCGAATGTTTTACGATGGAGCACGCCTATTGACCTTAACTAAGTACTCTTTCTCCCTGCCACTCGCGAAATGCAGCGTTTCCCTTTACTTCGTTATTTTTCCTCCACTCGTGGAACGTCGAGGGGTAACGTGTCTTTACTGCCTCGTCTACGTCGAAGAACACGAAGGGCAGCCATCTTTTTCACGTGGCCGACGACCACATGATCTCGGTCGAAGGTCATAATTTCCACCTCTTTCCAGCGGAAGTTTTACGAGCTTCATACATCAAGGTTTAACGCGATATCCGGGAGCCGCTGAAAGATTCAGATTACCTGGCTCACCGTGTGCATTATGC